CTGCTACTGAAAGTTTAAAAAAAAAAAAAAAAAGTCCTTCCATTTAATCTAGAACTTAACTGAAGTCATTAGAAATAAGCTGAAAAGAACCATCTCTCTTCACTATGCTGAATAGACATAATCTGCTCCCGAGAGTGTGGTGGTGTGTTGTGGAGGAGCCTGGATATTGATTAGTAAATGGTAGCTGAGCATGGCAGTGTTGAACAGAAAGGGATTTGTGTAATCATGCGGTGAATCCTCAGGAGGCTAATGCTTCTTTACAGTAAATACTCTCTTCTATTGTATTTATGTGATCCAATAGGAGATTTAAAGTTCTAATTTGCGAAATTAGCTTAACAAACAGACTTCCTTTTATTAGCTCTTTGGTTATTGTTCTGCTGGATTCCGGGTACATTAAGCACGTGAAAGTGAGAAATGAATGACAAATAGTTGTGAAAAGGAAGATGACCTTTTAAATTTAAATACCAATTGGCAGGGACAAACAACACACCCTCATTCCCCCCTCCATTTGAATAACAAAGGAAAACATGAAAACGAAATTCTTCTTTTAAAAAAAAAGCCTGTTAATTGTTGTCTTTTGGGCTTTTCCTGCAATTTCAATTCTTGCATTGTACATGCAAAGATCTTGCCCCAGAGACGTGTAATGGAGATCAAATGGGTACATATCCTGAATGTACAGCCTAGCTCTCACTCTGATTAGACAGCTCCATTATTACATGAATTTCTGTTGGTTTTTTTTTTTTCTTCGTTCAGTCTAAATGAACTGGTCATTTAAATGCTTCTGCCGTTTTAATTACAGTGGCAACTGCAATGAGGCAGTGCAAATGCTGTACTGCTTGCCCTTTTTTTCCTAAGCTGAATTGCTTTTTTACTGCCAGCATAACTTAGTTTGCTTCCATCTTAGTTTTAATGCAGCTCAAATAATTTTGGCGGAGAAAAGCACCTGCAAGGCTAAACTTTGTATAAATGTTTTTTTTTTTTTTTTTTTCAGCAAGAGATGCAGAGACAAAATGTATGCTGTTACACACACATGCACACACCGTTCTTCTGGATTACATTAAGTTTTTAAAAATTGTTTCATGAAGGAAGAATGTGCACAGTTTTCTTGAATCTCACATGATTTACATCTCATTTTGAAGGACAGAAGGCATACCAACATTTAACATCTCCAGTTTACTGTGGTATCGTTACACAAACGTGAGTTCTTAATCTCACACATTAGGCAATATTTCATCAGTGTACATCTATCAAGTGTGTGGAATGCTTAATATAGCAGGAGTTAGACCATCAAGTAGTCATTTCTAAGTCTGTGTCTTGAAATGTGGATGCCTGAAATCTCTCTTCTCTTCTTAGGACTTGTCCAGTACAACCATGTCAATCTAGGAGATACACTTTTTTTAAGGTGCAAAATTTTAAATTCTAAAATGATGTAACAAGGAAAGTGTCCAGCAAAATGCCTTAACAACGCTGATTTGGGTGTTGCTCTTATTTAAAGCAGATTAGTCCTGTTGGAACTGACTGCATACAACATATAGGAAAAGAATAAAATGCAGTGTGCTAAAATGCACAAAAATATTTAGAACTTACTACTCTTTAAAAGAGATGGGGTGTCTGTATCCTTGATAATCAAGGATATGAGTCTATAATGGCACAAAGCAAGGAGCATATAAGAGGTATTACAAGGGATGGCTAAAAGGTCTGAGTTTGCAATTTTAGATAGAAATAGATGTTTTTCACAAATGCATTAGAGAAACTAGGGACCATTAAGAAATGATGAAGAAGATAAAATTATTAATCATGAAGATATAGGTGCCTTTCTTCAAATCCACTTTCTGTTTAGTAGTAATAAAGCCGGTGTGTGCTGCTGCATGATAAGGCTGTAATGGATGTAAGTGGGGGGGAAAAAAAAAGAACTGATGAACAAATGAAACGGTACTTGGAAACTGCATGCAAATAAATCAGTAAACCCAAACAGCTGTCTCCAAAGAGTAGCAGGGGAACTAGAAGACTAATTTGGAGTAACAGTGACTGACTAGAACCAGAGAAGAGTCTGAAAACTGGAGAAGAGGGCGAACAGCTTTTAGGGGATAAATCAAGTGCATCTTCTGTTTGGTAGATAAATACATAATGGAATCAGTAATTTATGGAAATCAATAAATGTCTGGAAGATAATGGAACCATAAGCAAAAAAAGCTTTTAGCAATTTATCTTGACAAACCTCCTTTGTTTCATTTCCTGAATTATAGTATACAATTAAACAGAAAGCAGCAACTAAATTTAAAATAGTTGAGTATAAAAGTGGAGGTGGCAAAGTTGGCCTGAGTGTTCTTGAATTTTCACCTTCACTTTAATAAACAAATTTGACTCATAACTTCTATTTGGGGCATTTTGCAATTTAAAAACAAAATAAAACTCACTTCCTCATTTCCATCTTTCTTTAGGAAACAGTCTGTATCAGGAGCAGCTGATGTAACATTGCTATGTTGGTCTGTTAGAAAATGGGTAATTTTTGTGAGAGTTCATAATGAGTTGGTGCCTTTTTATGTGGTGAATGTTTTATGGGAGATTTGGGGAAAGGCAATCTGAGAGCCTAATGAACTAGTTTCTGAGTAGTTGTCTGGAAGAGTGCTAAATCTACAGAAGTCATTCTCAGCTGTGAAAAAAGATATGCGGGCTGGAGCAATTCAGTGTAGCTGCTAATAAGCAAAACTTCCTGATTTCTTTCTGCAGAAGTGTGAAAAAAGTTGTTATTCCTTTGATTTGTTTCTTCAAAAGTGTATGCAGGGAGAGGGTATGCAAGTCTGAGCCGAGTCCCACATTCAGCCAAAACAGCTTTTTTATTTTATTTTGGAGAAGTAGTCTGAATTTCTGTGAATCTTTCCCTTTTTTGGAAAGCAGCAGTTTAATAAGCTCATTAGATGTGATAAATTTCAGCAGAGGGGAGCGATGTGCCAAAAGGGAGCTCAGAGATGGGTCATATGTGGCTTGTTTCTAGACAGGAAGCCATCCAGGGCTTTTGGAAGGTGGGGGCTGGAGAATTGAGATTCATACTAATTCTTTCTTCAATAAAAATAGACTAAGTGCATCATTCCATATAATGGCAGCAGATTTTACAACAGAAGTAAATGAGCCTAGTAAATCTGTACCAGTCTAGCTGCGTTATCCACAGCTTGTATTAACACATTTAAATCCCATAGCTTTTTAGAGTAGAATTTTGGGAACCTGAAACTCCTTCAGCTTTGAAGCATTCAGTATGTTCAGTAAATGAGTACTCTTCGTTTTAAACACTGCATGTGGCATACTTATTTTTCAGGCTTTGCTATATTGCTTTTGTCTATGTTGCCAATCACTGGTTTTTGTTTTCCTGCATGTTGCTGCTTTTTGACTCTAATATTTTTGTAAGTATTTAGCAAGTGATAATAGCTCTTAAGACACAGCTGGGTATTGGATTTAGTTTTCCCACAGCAAGACTTCATGGCCTGGTATGCTGAAATCTGAGCTTGCTTACAGTTCTCCTCCTTGCTGGGGAGAAGAATAATGGACTGCAAAATGCATTCTGTTGCTATTAGCTTTTCAAGTGGATTTAACAATTCATTGGAAAAAGCATGCTATAGCAATTAAGTTCATCCCTATGCTCAGTCAGATTGCCATTTCCAAAAACAAGATGCATGACTGTTTAGTGAAGAGGCTAATGTTTTGTAGATGGTAGAAATTATTAACTAAAATTGAAATGGAAAATGTGCAAGAGGTGGTGGTTTCGAGCACAATATGAAATTATAAAGGAATTCTTTGAGTTGGGTAGTAAGTCCCTTATGGCTGTGTCACGTGCTTAACTGCTTAAAGCGCTCTCAGGAACAAACATGAAGGCAGAAAACCTTTGGTTTTCGTGCTGTGCTGCTTATTTTATATGTATGAAGAACCTCCCTGTTGAGAGAATGGTGGTCAGTATGTGAAGTTATTCATTTCATAACAGCTTTATAGATGCTATGCATCAAGAACTGCTTTTCAGTCTCTTAAGTGAGCTGCTCTGTGTGTATTTGATCTCCAATAGAAGGCTTTAAAAAAATGAATGTTTTGGTACTCTTGGAGTACTCTTGGAGAAGGGTGATATGTGCCAGTCAGACTGTACTGAACTGTTAGAGCCAGTATAGCAGAGTGTCTCTTGAAGATAGAAAAGAAAATATTAATAGAGGATTCAGTTTCATCCTTTAGGTTCTCCAGATGTTTTTCAGCCTAAGACTTTCTGTTGATTTTCACCAAAACATTGCCATGAAAATGTGGTGAAGCCTCCTGTCAGGATGTGTTGGGAAAGCAGTACTTTTCAAGTTGAGGAAAGTCTTTGCTGCAAAAATGTTGCCGATGCTATTTGTATTGTCTAGATAGAGGGCCTGAGTAGTTGTCACTGAAACTAGTCTGTTTTTTTTTTTTTTATGCTATGTTCTATGCTAATTTCACATAGTTTTAGTATTGAACAGAAGAGATTATCATGAATACAAATCATTAGGTGACAAATAGCAGAAATCTAGCAATTCTAATAGCGCAGGTGGATGTAAAAGTTGTTGGGCATTTCCTTCAGACAGTATCAAAGATAAGATTCTCAGCAGCTATTGCTGACCTGGGGTGGGAGCAACAGGCAAGGGCCTGGCCCTTGGACGCAGTGACTGTTGTAGCCAAAACTTATATCCCGCTGCAAAGCTAAATGGTCTCCTGGCTAGGCTCATGCAACTATTTGCATCCATTTGTACAAATCATGGTTCTTCATTAAAATAAATAAATAAATCTATTTTCTAATTATATTAAAAAAAAAAAAAAAAAAAGTTTTTTTTTAATTTTTTTTTTTTTAAGTTTCTTAGATGTGCCCGCCAGTTGAGGTAATACTAGAACATAAAACTTCGTACTCCTCACGTATTTGAAAGCAATTCACTTACAAAGTTGAAAATTGTTAGTTTGAATAAGCTTTTCTTCATTAAATTTTAATGTATGCACTGAATGTTTTTCAGAAACTCCAGAAAAGAACTTAATGATATACGCTTTGAGTTTACTCCAGGCAGAGGTAAGGCTCTTTCAATTGAATTATTTGTTTATTGTTCAGAAGGGTTTTTCAGAAATCGATTTGTACTTCTGGTTAATATAAGCGATCTCTCTGAAGTGTTCCCTAGTATGCAGAGCTTCACATTGGACTTAACTTGAACAAGAACGTGAGATGTGTGTAAATTCTGGTGGCTAGGTTGCATAATGTACCGTGTATGTTTGATTTTTCTCTACAGTATGCTTTATCAATTTCATGTCTTACTCAAGTGATCTATATGGTATGTAAGATGTTGTATCATGATATTTATGGCTTTGGGATTTACTTTTTTTTTTTTTTTTTTTTTTTTACATTTGGAGAACATAACAAGAAATGGCATAGGGTAGCTATGAAAATATATGTGGTGATAGTGGTAATATTTGAGTTTCTTTGCCCTATGTAATAAAAAGTTCTGTTAAAATATATGGGGTGTACACCATTTTTCAGATGTCTTCAGTTGGCAATTGAATTGCATTTGTAGCTTATGTCTCATCAGCAGAAATAAATTCTGGCACTGAAACTTAGGATTCCACTTGTAGAAGCTTGTAGAACTCTGGCTTTCCAGTGCTAAGAGTTTTAAGAAGTCATAAAATTTATTTTTATTATAAGGATACCAGGTATTATTGCAATAAAATACGCAAGGGGATGATATGTTGAGAAAGAAGGTATCATCCTTGTTACATAGCAACTCTTTAAGCTGTGAACATATTTCATTTTTTTTTTTTTTCAGAAGTCAATATACGCTATACTTAGAATAGTCTTTACACAGAGCTTCCACTTAAAAAAAAAAAAAAAAAAAAAAAAAATTCCAAATTGGAACAGGCATTTTTTTTTTCCCTGTATATCATATTCTCTATCTTATGCAGTAGTTTTGTGGATATATTCTGTTGTCTACTTGCATGTCTCATGAATTTTGGAAATGAGTAATAAGAAAAATTTCTTTACTCAGTTGGGTACAGAGCATCCTGATTTAGTTGCTATTGAAAAAATTACTTAAATACTCACTAAGCAGTTACATAAGCTATGCAAAAATCTGTACTTGGTTGAAAAATGCAGGGTATATCATAAAGTACATGAGGACTATTCCTAATAGTTACTGAGATTGCCAGTATTCTCACCCTCAAATCTCTACAGAAATTCTTACTCACTCAGTGATGCTGTTTTTTCGTCTGTGTTTTACTTGAGGAGTTTATGTAAACGTTCAGCTGCTTCAAAACATGGACTCCATGTAGACACTTTGCATTCATGTCATGTTTAGTTGATACCTTGGTGGAACATAGGCTTGTTCTTGCTGTTTCCCACTTACTCTAAGCCTTCCAAATACTGTATGCAATAATTGTCCAGTAACCATTAGTAGGCATGGAGACTTGGGAATTAAGCTTCTCAGTTGCAGCAGTCAGCATCCATCCAGAGCTCTGAATCTTCTGGGTCACCATACGTAAAGCCTGTTCTGAGCTCAGAGCTCAAAGAAAATAAGGACTGTGTGACTCCCTTGCCTCATTGTTAACAAACAGGAAAACCTGATATTACACTTCTCTATCTAGATATACAGTAGAGAAGATGGAGGCACAAGTGAAAATGCCCCAGAACAGTTTATTTTCTTGGTTGTGAAAATACTGAAATTGTAAACCACTAAGAGTACCTATTCTTAAGAATAGAGAAGATATGCTAGTGATGTGGAAAGGTCTGTATGGTATTTGTAATCAATAAAATCATCACAGCATTTTGCTGTGTAGAAGCTGCTAAGTTAATTATCTTGTAAAATTGTGATCCTTTTTTTCTCCCTCCTAATGAACAATAACATTGAATTTAAGCCTGCAACTTATGGGTGTTTTGAAACTAAAATATAATTTTGTTATATTGCTTTGGGTGATTGACACTTTGTGTTCTTGTTCTGGATTCTCATACTTACTTCACCTTTTGGACAGACACAGCAGATGGTGTTTCTCAGGAGCTGTTCTCTGCAGGCCTGGTTGATGGCCACGATGTAGTTATAGGTAAATTACATTTTTCTTTGCAATTATGTTCTTGTGATAAGTTTGTGTTAAATGAATGTGAAAAAATACATTCTCTGTTGTTGGTTGTTACACAGTTTTCTTTGTCCTAATTTTGCTTCCATGAATGCATAGTTTGTTCAACAAACCAGTTTGTTCAACAAACCAGTTGAAGAATTGTGTTTTGGAAGTTGGATCTTTTCACTGATTTAAAAGGAGTAATATAACAAATCTCCTGTAGGACCATTTAGAATTCAATGATTGATCATTTCTACACTAACTTAATTTTTTTTGTTTAACAATAAAATGATTTTGGAGTGGGATTATTCAAAGTATGCTTTGGAACCCTGAAATTATATATCATGTTATTTTAAATTAAGTATCATGTAGAGTTCACAGAAATAAAAGCATACCAGAATTCAGAATCTGGGCAAAATTGTGTTTAAAGATAATTGGAAATGTTTTCTTGCAGTTAAGAGGAAAGATACTTCTCTATTTTTCTATTCCGTGTTTCAGTGACTTTTATTTTTTAAAGCAATTCACTGTTGACAAATATGATTAATTTCTTAAGTATTCTTTTCCCTGCAGTTGCAGCTCTTCTTGTGGTTGTTCAGTGCCTCTAGAAATATAGTTGCCAAAATCAGAGCTTTTTAATAGATGATAAGCATGTGAGAGCTGGAGAAATACCAGTAGCTTGATCTTTGTGTTGCAGTTGTAAAAGTTCCTATCAGTTGGTTAAGATATCTTTACCAAACAAATCTGTGAATTCTAAAAACCAACCAACTCCTTTTTTTTCTTTTTTTTTTTAAAAAAAAAAAAAGGGAAGTTTCTGCAGCATTGGATTATGCAGGTGAAGATTTGAAGGACCTGGCCACATCTGTTTACAAGAAATTGAGCACATTTTGAGCTGTCACCTCCTCTATAGCAGTACAGTCTTGAAAAATATTTCACTTCCTTAGTTTAAAGCAGTAAGTCGTATAAAAGAACAGATGGTGCTGAAAATGCAAATCCTCTTACAAAACTCATTTTCTTTGTAAAAAGATTTTGCCACCTTGTTCACTCCAAATTTGAAAGGTTTATGATCTCCTTGACTATGAATAGCGGAGATGAGTTTGGTTAACCTTCTTCACCAGAAGATCTGATTCTTACAGGCTGAAAGCATCTGATAAATTATCTCTCACTTTTCAACAGAACCATGCAGAAATTCAGCCTCTGTAATATGAATCACAGAAACACCAGGGTTTGAAAAGACTTACAAGATCATCCAGTCCAACCATCCACCTATCACCAATAGTTGTCACTAAACCATGTCCCTCAACACAAAATCCAAACACTCCTTGAACACTTCCAGGGTTGGTGACTCCACCACCTCCCTGGGCAGCCCATTCCAGTGCCTGACCACTCTGCCAGAGAAGTAGTATTTCCTAATGTCCTGCCTAAATCTCCCCTGGCACAGCTTGAAGCCATTCCCTCTAGTTCTATCACCAGTTTAACAAGAAATGAAAGCAGATTTCTAAGTTAGCCTTGTGAAAGTTGTTCCTGTAGTTACTTTATAAATTAAAAAAAAAAAAAAAAAAAAAAAAAAAGTTGAGACATAGAAACTGCAATTAAAGAAAAAAAGTGAAAACATCCATGTTTGTTTTGAACTTAACAATTTATTGGCATAACATCTGATTTTTCTGAATGCATACTTGAACCAGAGTCAGCAAAAGCTGCTGTGAAAAGTATGGCCATATATGAGCTGAATCTGTTAGTAGGGTCCAGTTGACATGCAGGTTTTACAGAACTCACTGCTTAGCATGAACACACTTCACCTTCTGAGTCCTGCTGGATTCACTTCACTTATTAACACAGTCATCCTCGGAAGATTTCCTTTCCGATAAGCAGTAAGTTCAACTACCTGTTCTGTGGACATGTAAAAATCCCATCTTGCATGCTCAGTTCTCGCTACAATTGACTGGTTTCTGTTCTCATTGACAGTAGCATTGTTACACAGGAGGTCCCTAGATCAAGGGAGTCGGTACAAAAAAATTAGTTTAAAGAAGACTGGATTTTGAATTGGTCAGGGGGGAAGTGAGTCTCGGTGGCTATATGTAGACATCTACTTGATAAGGTATTTTTATACAGCTCTGAAACAGCTGTTAAATCGTGTGAAAGATCTAATATTTTCAGAATGTTTTCAGATAAAATGTCTATGCATGTGCTAGTAAACCTTCACATAGTTATGCTTTGTTTAGATTTTTTTATTCCATAAAAGAAAGTTTAATCATATAAATACTCAGTTCTGTTGGAAATCACATAGTTGCAGTCCTGCTTCACTGCTGTGTATGTAATTTCATCAAAGCTGTAGATCATCTGGATGCAATCCTGAAATTTCAGAATCTAAAGGGAGCTGTCTATAGATATTTAGAAGGAAAAAATGCTTCTTCCCAAACAAAATTTAAATAAAAGTTCCTTTAGATTTGCAGTCAAGAAACATACAGTTGTTCTTCACTATATTAATGTAACTTTAATTTTAGGACTTTTTGTCAACAAGTATCTGTGAATACTTCAAGAATCGTGGAAGACATACCTTCACATTTAAATACATCAAACGTTACCTACTGGCAAATTGATGTCTGCCTTTTGTTTTTGGATCCAGACCCAGTTACCGGCACTTGGTAACTAGAGAAGCAGCTTTCAGTAAGGCAAAGCAAAAGCTCCCTATTTGAAAAGTCTAGTATGTTTAGAAGAAGCAATTGAGAAAGGAATAGATCATATTTTTAAATGAGATCATATTTTGATTGTAGCAAGTATTTTTGCCAACATCTTATATATTTGCAATTACAGTAAATGCTATCTTGGAGTGCTTTTGTTTTTTTTGGTTGGTTGGTTTTGCGTGTGAATTTTTATTTGATGTGGTTAATGTGGTAAGTAGACAGGACTAATATCAGCATCTAGGATAAAAAGGTCGTGGCTCTAGATAGCTAAGCTGACCACAAATGCAAAGAATGCGTATCAGGCCAAATCCAGAATGAATGGTTTCAAGATATATTAAACAGTAAATAATATTAATGAAGAGTATTGAAGGACATGAAATTGAAACATCTGATTGTATTATAGTGTCCTATGTGCTGATGCTGAACTTCCATACTTCACTGAGAAACTGAAAAAGCGGAAGTGCAATTTATTACTATACTGTCTATAACAGGATCTTAACCCACAGTGACACTGATAATCAAATTCATAGAAACTAAACTACCCCAGAGTTGCTCAGTGTATCCTTCCTCTTATCGTGCTTTTGCTTATATCTGGTTTTGTTTGCAGTCGTGTTGGATTAATCCTCTTTGAAACTGAATGAAGTGATGCCTTTTGTTCAACTAATTCCAACGTATTTTCTGATTACGGTAAAATAAGACTGTGCTGCATACATTGAAAATGTACTGCGTAAATATATAGCTTTGCCAAGGGCAGTAGTATTGCTAAGGGTACACAAACTGGTTTAGCACTACAACTTGAGGCAGCATAGGTTTGCCATTTAATATCAATCACAGTTTGAGATCAGAACACTTGATTTTTATGATCTTTGGGGAAATTTACTAGAAACTTTTTTTCTTGTGTCAATTGTTCAAAATGAAATTCTGATTTTTTTTTTTTTAGTTGTGTATCACATCTTATGTATTCTAAAGCTTGATGTACTTATAAACTTACTAATGAGAAAATGCCCTAACAGACTGTAAAAATTCATTTCAAGAATAGACTAAATAATTTGTTTACCTTTCAGTTTATTACCCTGAAAAGAAACATGCATACAACAGAAATTGTGCTGCATTTTAAGGCATTATGTAGAAACTCTTGTGCCTTTAGTATGTGCACATAGCTGTGTTTCTCTTTAGCAAGAGATGCACATGCATTAGCAATAGGAGAATCTCTCTAAAATCCCCAGAGCTTACCTAGGACTTAAATATTTCAACACATCTGGCTCATTTAGAGCTAATGCATTGAAGAGTGACTCATAATGACTAGACTGTTGGGAGTTCTGGAGGTTTGAGATACACCCTTAGGTAATCAAGCTTTGCATCTAATTGCTCCTTAAAAGTTGTTTTAGCTATATATGTTCTGTGTAAAAGGTGCATTTGAAAAACTATACTGTGTGAACAAGGCTGGCTTCGTGCACATTCCCACCTCACTGAATTTTCTGTGTAATGGAAACTCAGGCATTCAGGATGGTGGAAAAGAACACTGTGTTGGGTAAATAGCAGCAGCTGCTGTAATGGCTTTAGTGGCTGAGCTGTGACATGACATAAATGCATAAGTTGTCAGTGTAACCAAATTAATCTGTACACACATCATTGGAAATGTGTTCATCTAAAAGGTACAATCAAATAATTTTTCACTACTTTCAGGGGAAAAAAAAAAAGGTGGAGTTGGTGGTTGCTTTCAGATAAGGCTGCTTTTTTTCAGCACCCAGTCAAGCAGTTCCCAGTTTGTGAGGAACAAATTCATCTGTTTATCAGTGGGATTAGTTTGGGTTCTGCCTAATACAGGAGGTGATAAACCTAAAGCTTTCCCTATTCTCTCATAGGTCTGAGTTGTGGTTTTAAGGTCTTTCATTTCTGTTTCTTTTTTCTTATTTAAAAAAAAAAAAAAAAAGCTGTGAATTTGAATCAGAACTTGCTAAGACAGCAGTGTAAGTAATGTTCCCCTTTTCAACAGTAATTTAGTTATTGTTGTTTGTTTCCTTGGCATTCACTTCTCCTGCAAGTAGTTAGTATGTCAAAATAAGGATTTAAAGATGTGCTTAAAACTAGAGGTAGTCCATTTCAAAACCTAACTCCTGAAATCAAGGTTTTTCTACGTGTATTTTTTGTTGTTTCAAGTTTCAGACAAGGTAGTGAAGTAGCCTGACTGCCATTTCATCATCTTAATAGTTTTGTCAGAACAAAATCTATAATTCATTTTCTATAATTCATAGCAGTACTCGGAAAAGGAGAGATGTGAACATCTGATGAGGAGAGGAGATT